TTTTTTCTTTCAGGAGCTGAAAGCTGAAATGGCAGCTGGGTGATTGAGAACTGATTTGGACAAACCAATCTTGACACATTTTTATGGAAGGATATCATTCCTACTCCTAGCTGACTCATTCATGAGTTTCCTCTCTTTGAGGGGAAAACTTCACAGGAACAATCAATCTTTCTCGGTTTCTGGGAAATAATACCCTGATGCTGACACCCAGACGGTCTTAACATTTGAATACTTTATACTGGTTCACCCCTAGTCTAAGTCACGTTGTCAACTTGGTAGTTTTTTAATTTATTTATTGATTGCTTGAAAAAGACACCTATCCACTGTACTGTCGCTGCAGACTTTTTATACCAGGTCAAGAATGTAAACCTCTAATCTCGTGTGGGTTGGTGTGAGTTCTAAACAGAAAGTCTGGATGTGAACTCAAGGCTCAAGTCACTCGTTTTAGTTTTATCACTTGAAGGGTAGAGGGGGTGATATCCTCTACCCTCTCATGCCCTAGCTTGGGTTTCTGGGTTAAAGTTGGAACAGATTTGGGCTACTGAAATGACTGAATCAGATGCCTGCAGGAGTACAGGATATTTCGTAACTTCTCAGAACACATTTATATGAGCCACAATGCACTGAGAAGAAACCTACGACTACAGTCATTAACACTGACCCTGTAAGTCAAGGTTTCTCCTTTCCTTTAGGTTCCTAACCCTGCCACACAGGTGGTTAACTCATATAATTTGTGGCCACTTCCCAATCCGCAACTGTCAGACAGTTTTTACCATTTATGAGGGCAGAGAGGTTAAAAAGTACCTAAGTTTACATATGGATTTAAATATAAGCCCTTGTTTATAGTAGCACAAACACAGACTCACAAGTAAAACAAAAAAGGTAGTGACAGTGAATTACATATTTTAAAATATAAAAATACCAACACACGTACGTACATGTACATGTATGGTGTAGCTGACTACAACGTGTGTACCAATGGGTTATGCTCATGCTATGCACACATACATGGACAGTGCAGGTAGTGTCTTCATACGCTTACATGTACTAATAATATTGTGCATGCTGAATGCAGACATCAAAATCCATTGTGTCTTCTTTTGGGCAGGTGGAAGAATATTGATTGACCAACCTAAGGAGCCTATACCTAGCCAAGTCAGTCAATACTTCCATTCTTTTTTTAGTTGGGGCAAAACTTTGATGCGCTCTCTTGTGGATCTATATGAGATGTGCGCGTTTAAAGTTTCATACTGTGCTTAGGAGCTTCAATGCAGACACAAAAAACGTGAGAGGTTTAATCTTGCAAGATCAGAGGGCACTTTCTGCTTAATTGGGACCTTTTCAGTGGCAGACAATTTGGTTTGTGTTGCTGCCAACTACAAAATCTGTCTGAGAAATATTTGCACGCAACTTGGACATTTAATGTTGATTCCAGAATTAATTTGCCAATGGCCAACTAGAACTGTATATATCGATCATTCCACTTGGCTCAAAATGGGAAAACACATTCTAGGTGTAATTTAATTTTCCACTAAATATTGGCAACATTCCATGCCCAAATTGTCGTGATTGTAAAAGTAATGAAAACATCAGACTGCATCGACAGTGACGGCAAACTTGGCATACATGTGTTAGTAACACGTCCAAGGTCATAAACGATGAAGCAGGGTACTGGGGCGGTCATGCTGGTGGGGAGACTGCACATTTTAAGACGACTGTCTAGAACTTTTTATCCGTAGGCTATAAAATCCTCAGTACCGAAAAGTATTGGCAACATATGTGCCCATGTCCTGCTAGCCCTGAAGGCCCGGCCTTGCGTGGGTGGGGGGGGGAATGCCTAAACAGTCCTCCTTGTAAGCAGGTCGACCCCCTCAGCCTCTACCATTACCCTGATTACCGTGCAATGTGACCATAGAGGAATAGAAACACTGAATAATGTGACTGTCAAAAACAAATAAATTTCCAAAATTCCAGGAACATGTCTGTAGGCTACACTGAGTGGATGGTCCTACTGAGTTCTCCTGCCCAAAAGTTTATGGACCGATCATGTTTATGACTGTGGTCTCATAAAAAAAACTGGAAACGCAAATGGTATTCACAACCTTCAAGTTGAAAATGGTCAGATAGTTATAGTGACTTGCTAAAAATTCACTCGACGTAAAGCCTTAGAGATAGGTATATTACATTGAAGAAATAAATGTGTCTCTTCTTAAAATACGGGGGAAAAACGAGCTTACCTTAGTTTTCTGTCGGTTCCTCAACCTAGGCCTCGCCCCTATATCACAATGATGAATGCTCTGTCTTGTCCGTGGAGTCCTTATTCTGTTGACGCGAATCGAGTACGTGGACAAACTCTTTTGTTCCTTTCCTTGCGTTATATAATGCACGTGTACCACGGCTAGCCGGCATGCACAGCTGGCAACTGAAAAGTTTGTTGACCGCGCTTACAGCTGACCGCGCGCCAGCCGGCGATTGAAAAAATATTTGCATATAAATGACAAAAACGTGTTCTCATTGGCTACGATGCGCGACATCGTCCAAGGGTACACATAACGCGTCTGCTGATTCGTCATTTCTCTGCGGTGTTGGCATAATAGGGTCGACAAACTTTTTGACCACACGCGGTTCAAGGAAACAAAAATACGCGCGAAACCGGAGCTCAGCATCCTGCTGATGCAAATCCGTCATGGCTTTTTTTTTATTAAGCTTCAGGTATATTATAAAAACCTGCAAATCTCTAGAAACTCGAGTTTGCTGTGAAGAGTACGGAAGATGAAATATTCCATCCATTTGGAATGAAGAAAGGGACAGCTTCGTTTTGAAAAATACTCAAGCATTCGACAGTCCCGCCAAGTTCTCAAAATCAAAAGCTATGAAGCGGGAGATGTTTTATCATAGAAGATTTCCGTCTCTATAATGGACACATCCAGTATACTTGTAGGCGTATCTTTGATTTTTACTGCTTAAGTACAGGAAGCGTGCATAGACTAACCAAGGACACGAAATTTACCCTGAGATTTCTGAAAATGGACTACTGAGGGCGCTAAATAGCATGTTCGGATATACCACAGGCAGCACAAAGGGTGCAGACCACTAATTCAAAAAGTGAGAATTTCTGACCAGCTCATTAGCATTAAAAGTGCCCCCACCCACAGTATCTTTTGAAAAAGCAGATTGTTTGGCACCCAAAATGGTGAGATTGTGTAAATCGTTGCCAGGATCAACTCCCTGGGTCTTAGAGCTTTCATATGAGGGAAGAAGGGCTGAAAACTACGGTTGAAAAATGGCCCTACGTGCCCGAGAAAGTTGAGGGTTGCCAC